CATATTGATATTAAAAAAAGGGGTTTTTTTTCTCTTAACTTGAAACATAACAGATGGCTCATGATATGAACTTTCTTTTACTCTTTTAACTAAGATATATTATATTTCACAGCAGGTGTATATAATAATGTAAATATTATAATTGTTTTTTAACTTTCCAGCAGAAATTGCTTTTGTAATTTTCTTTTCATAATTATATGCAATTTATTAAAGTAATTTACATATTTTCCTTTTTTTTATAACTGAATTTTGTTTTGCATTTCTTTAGTTCTAATTTTATTTGTTTTCTTAATTTTCCTATTTTTAATTTAAATCTTTTGATTCCATTTTTATTACTTTTATTTATTACTTCTTATTGTTTATTATTTCTTATTAATTTTTTTATTTCTTAATTTAATGTAATTGTATTATTTATTTTTATTATTTACTTGTTCTACTTTTACTATTACTTTTTTATTTTCGCTGTTTGACTTTATTAAATATACAAAAGATAATAATAAATAAATTAAATTTAGTTTGTTGAAAATTTTTTTTTATTTAAAACTTGCAATTCTGCAACTTGTTGCTTTTACTTTTTATACGATCATTTCCGGGAAAAATGTTTATTGATCCAAATAACAAACACATAAAGAGACTATTTTTCCATTTTTGACAAAAACAAGTGGAAATTCTAAACACACATTGCTTTTGTGTCACAAAAAAGAATTCCTGCATCTCTGAAGACTTTTTTTTAAATTACTCTTCAAATCGGAACTAGTAAAATTTCATTAATTTAAAATAGTCACTGACATTTTGCTTTGAAGATTTATTTTTTACTTTATAAATTTCTGTATTTTTTCAAGGACCTTATTACTTTTTTAATTTACTTGAAAAAATTGGATTTTTTAATTAAATTTTTTAATAAAATTTGACGAACAAAGTAAAACAAACTAACGAATAAATAAGGGAAGTAAAATAAATGAATGAAATAAAAAAACTTGAAATAAATAAATTAAAGAAAATAAGTATTTAATTTTAGAAATTAAAACTCGTAGGTAGTAGTTTTAATATAAAAATTAAATTTATTTATTATAATTCATTAACAGTTTATTTGATTAATTATATACTAAATAAAAAAAATCTAATAATTTACTATTAAATTTTAACTAAATTAAAAAAAGAATTGTACTATCTTACTACTAAATTTTAAGTAATTTAATAAACAAGTCAGTTACCAATTTCAAGAAGAGTAATTTCAAAATTTCTTCTAATAATAATGAAAATATTAAAAAAAAAATAATAAAAAGAAATAATATTCGATAATTTTTATTCTTGAGAAGTAATAAAAATTTACCAGAATATAATAATGAGGTTAATTGATCAATCAGTGAGGGAAAATAAAAAATTTGCAAATTTTCCTGAACAACTTAAATAAAGTCAATTTCTAGATCACCATGAAATTTCATTGATTGTAAATTGAAGAGTGCAATCAAAAGAGAAATTGTTCTCGATTGAAGGGCGTTGTGATAAAAAAAAAACGATTTTTATGTAAAAAATGCAACTGTTTTTTTTAAATTATACTTACTATTTTTAACTGTATGCACAATAAGTCAATAATGATAAAAAATAATAATAATAATAAAATAATAATAATATAATTTAAAACATTTTTATTTGACAAATTTTTAAAAATCAACGCTTCTGTGTGAAAGGAAATTTTTTTATAGCGTTTGTTTTATATAAATATTTTTGCAAGTGAATTTTAAAAATCACTTTGCTTTCTTTTTTACTAGTTTTCTACTCCTTTTTTATCGAAAAAATTATTACCGTGTTGATAAATTTTTCAATATTAATTGCAGTATATCATCTTTATTGTTTTATTTTTACTTTATTTAAAATTTCTATTTTCACTGCAAAATATAAAAAAATAAATAATAATAATAGTATTTCGTACTATTTGCACGAAAGGGCTTGTTCCATTTATAAATAAATAAATAACAATGTATGAAAAATAAATAAATAAACTATAAAAAATGCTTCAGATACAAAAAAATTTAATTACTTTTGCGAAATTTTCAGATTTTTTTTTAGTTATAGAGAAAAATGTATTTTTTCGAAATAAACTCTTTGTTGAAAGTATAATAATAAATTTTTCCCATCATTGACTATAGTTATATGAAATTCTAGGACAGACTACTTTGCTTTTTGTAACTATATGTCCAAGGACTATGTATTCTGTTTGAAGTAAATAAACAAGATCGTCAAATGCTACATTATTAAAGTGAGCTTATCGATTTTATAGAACACTTTTTTCCTCCGAAGAAACAAATTTCAAGTCTTCAAAGAATCTCTTGGTGGTCGTTTTATTTTCCATCGCAACTTCAGAACAAAAAAAGGAGTCATGCTTTTTATTCGTTTATTGCATGTACTCTGTTTTTGAACAAAAAATTTGTAACTACCGTGTACATTGTATTCAGTTTTTAGAGTAAGTTATAAGTATTGTAAAATATCAGATTGTAAATAAGTTCTATATTATTGTTTACATTAAATTTATATTATTTTTTGGAATATTTTTTCTTCACTTTTTATGCTATAAAATCGAAATTTTTGAATTATTTTTTTAAAGTATTAATCAAATAAATTTCAACTGACGTTCATTTATTTACTACTAAAACCAATACTAAAATATTATGAAAAATAATTGTCCGACTTAAACAATAGTTTTTGTTTTTATTTTAAATATTTACTAATGAAAATAGTTTTGTCTGACTAATAATGATTTTTACTACTGAAACTGTGATTTAGATTTTGATTTTTATTTAAATTAAGTAATCAAAATGACCTTGCCAGACAATAATCGAATTTCACTACTGAAAGCTTAGTTACTATGTAGGGAATTAATTTTGTCTGATTAAAATAAATTTATACTACTGAAAAATCAAGATTTATACTACTGAATCAAAAATGAGTACAAATCAAATTAATTTCCTTTGACTAAAATTAATTTAAACTACTGAAACTACCAGAAAAAATATTCTTTCAGAATTCGAAATAAATTTTTTTTGACTGAAATTGATTTGTACTACTGAAATAATATTTATTAAAAAGTAAAAACAAAGAGATTTTGTCTGACTAAAACAGGTTTTTACCACTGATTTATTACGTTTTTTCCTCTTTAACTATTCGTTTATTTACCGTCGTGGTGTCAATTAAATTTTATATTAAATTTTATAATTATGAAGAGATTTAGTTTACATTAAAATGCATTAAGAAATTTCAGTCGCTTTAGTCAAACTATGCGTCTAGAAATGTCTAGATAAGCCAAACTTTAAATACCCACTTCATATTTCCAGTCTAGTTTGCAATTTATATTTACTTGTTTCATTAAAAATAATTAACGACTCAATTTTTATTACATTCTCATCATATGAGAAGGTATTTTTTAATATAAATATCAATTATTTAAGTATTTGTAATCTTCAAAACAATAGTATTAATTTGTTTTAAAAAGTGTAATATTTATAAGCAAATTCTAAGATATTTTTCTAATAGAATTGAAAGTAAAATTTTATATGAAAAAAATTATTTGTTTAAAATAATTGATCACTTGTTTATTATCAAATAAAAATTTACTTGATTCAAACAATTTTTAATTAATTCAAATAAATCATATTCGAACCAATAATTTTAGTATTTTTTTTTTTTTGTTATTTTTTGTTTTAACTGTATTTAAAGGAAATACCATTTAATTGATTGAAATAAAAATTATTATTTGATACAAGGAAATATTTATTTGATCTCTTGGATTTCTCTTACGTAAATCCAGTTTATGAGAGTGGAGATACGGTTATAAGAGAATTATATATAACATGCAGTTAACATTATACAATAGTTCAAAAATAATTTGTATTCCTTAATTGTTATTATTGCTAGGTATTAATATTATTATTAATTAATAAAAATGGAATGTCTGACTTAAAAAACAATTACTCACTACTGTTAGTATAATTATTAATTTAACACTTTTTTGTCTGACTAAAGCTTCTTTTTACTACTAACAAAAAAAATTAGTGGATTATGTCTGATTTAAACTATTATTTACTACTAATAAAGATTATTGTATTATTTTTTCTACTTAAATATTTTCAAAAACATATCATCCAAAAAAGAAAAATATAATTAAAATCAAACATTAATGTTATTAAGAATGAATGATTTTAATATAAAAAGCAAATTTTAAAAAAATAAATAAATATAAATTTATTTGCTTAAAAAATTGTTTAAAAGTTTATAAATAATTATTATTTTGACATAAATTTTGATATATAAAATTTTAAGTCAAAACTTTAATAATTTATGTAACAATTTTGATACTGAAATTTATTAATAATTTGCTTCTCTAGGAAGTCTGTTAATTAGAGAAGGCTTAATTAGTTCTATGAATAGTATTAGTAAATAGTGAGTAATTTCTAGTTGCTCTTCTTGGAACAGATAAATTAATCATTGAAAGAAGTGAGAGCCTAAATTATGTCATTTAAAAAATTATACAATAAAATAATATCAGCAAAGCGAAAACTGGAATGATAATAATAACAAAAAATGTATTTATTTATTTATTGATTTATACATACGGGACAATAATAATAATAATATAATGATAACAGTAATATTATTATTATAACTCCTTATTATGCCTTTTTTATAATAATAAATTACAATAAAAATAATTGTTATTATTATTAGCATTAGTAGGTATTATTCTTTTATTATTATTGGTATTAATATTAATAATATTAAAAGTTGCAAATATATTTATTAATTCTCATATACAGATATTATTTTACTATATTTTATATTTATATTTAAAATTATATACTATTACCATAAAACAGTAATTAAAATAAATAAATAATATTCTGTATTGCATAAATTTATTCCTAAGGATTAAACATTTTTTTTAATTTTTCAAATTTTCGCCAAAAAAAAATATATATCGTTGGATTTGAATTTGAATTTTGCAGATATATGGCGATTATGCGACCTCTTAAACATCACATGTCTCGCAAGAGGACAATATTGGCATTGTTCTCAATCTGGTTCGCTTCAGCCATGTTAGCGATACCTTGCCTTCTATATTCAACTACAAATTCTCGAAGGTAAAATAATATATAACTGTCACGTGCGATATTTTGATTTGCATGTTAATTTAAAAATAGATTACTTTTCCAGATCTTTTATCTATCATATGTGTGCGTGTATTATGTATCGTATAGAGACTTTGTTCTTTTTTTTGCAAAAAACAAAATTTGAAAAAAAATAATGCGAAATTTTTCTACTTTATTTCACTAGATACAATCTTGGCTATACAAGTGTTTTTACAACCGTAGAACATTCCTTACAAACATTCCTTAATACTAAATTTTTGCGCCTACAGAGCGACTTGAAAATTAGGAGTACTCGCATTTGCCTAGACCACCCGTCTAATGGGTTTTCTCGACAGTAGAGAGGGAAACTGTAGAAAACCTCTCCAAGTACAACCGGTTTATCAACTTTCCTGTAAAACCAAAATCAAAAAAGTTATCACACTATTTCCAAAAAAGGTTAAAAAAGTATGATTTCTAGTTTATGAAATTTTTAAACTGGTATCTTTTTGAAATTTTAATAAAATATGTTTTTCTCTTTTAGTCCTTAAATTTTGGGCCAAAACAAACAACTTTTTCTTTAAACACATTCCCGAAGAACAAAAATCAAAAAAGTTATCACACTATTTCCAAAAAAGGACAAAAAATTGTGATTTCTTGTCTTTGAAATTTTTAAACTTTGGTATCTTTTTTAAATTTTAATAAAATATGTTTTTCTTTTTTTGTCCTTAAATTTTGGGCCAAAACAAACAGCTATTCATTTAGACACTTTCCAGTAAAACAAAAATCAAAAAAGTTATTACACTATTTCCAAAAAAGGGCAAAAAGTTGTGATTTCTTGTCTTTGAAATTTTTAAACTTTGGTATCTTTGTCAAATTTCAATAAATTTTTTTTTTTTTTTTGTCCCTAAATTTTGGGCCAAAACAAACAACTTTTCTTTTAGACACTTTCCAGTAAAACAAAAATCAAAAAAGTTATTACACTATTTCCAAAAAAGGACAAAAAGTTGTGATTTCTTGTCTTTGAAAATTTTAAACTTTGGTATCTTTTTCAAATTTTAATAAATTTTTTTTTCTCTTCTTGTCCTTAAATTTTGGGCCAAAACAAACAGCTTTTCCTTTAGACACTTTCCAGTAAGACAAAAATTAAAAAAGTTATCACACTATTTCCAAAAAAGGACAAAAAATTGTGATTTCTTGTCTTTGAAATTTTTAAACTTTGGTATCTTTTTTAAATTTTAATAAAGTATGTTTTTCTCTTTTTGTTCTTAAATTTTGGGCCAAAACAAACAGCTTTTCCTCTAGACACTTTCCTGTAAAACCAAAATCAAAAAAGTTATTACACTATTTCCAAAAAAGGACAAAAAAGTGTGATTTCTTGTCTTTGAAAATTTTAAACTTTGGTATCTTTTTTAAATTTTAATAAAGTATGTTTTTCTCTTTTTGTCCTTAAATTTTGGGCCAAAACAAACAGCTTTTCCTTTAGACACTTTCCAGTAAGACAAAAATTAAAAAAGTTATCACACTATTTCCAAAAAAGGACAAAAAATTGTGATTTCTTGTCTTTGAAATTTTTAAACTTTGGTATCTTTTTTATTAGATTTAATTGTGTGATTCTTTTTTGTTTTTTGCCATTTTTAATTTTTAAAATCTGACTTTAGATACGTAATCAACGACCCCCAAAAACTCCTGAGTAACGAGTTTCAGGGAAATTGAATCTATTCTTAAAAAAGTTGTCAGTCATATTGAATCCGCTATTTTGAATTTTGAAAAACTGACATAAGATTCGTAATCAGCGACCTCAAAAACCCCCAAGCAACGAGTTTCAGGCAAATTAAATCAATTTTTTTAAAGTTGTCCGCCATATTGGATCCACCATTTTGAATCTTGAAAAACTGACATCAGATTCGTGATCAGCGACCCCAAAAACCCCCGAGTAACGAATCATATAGGCAAATTGAACCTATTTTCAAAATATAACTTGACACTTTTCATTTAACCCTCACGGGCTCGAGCCGGGTCCCTCGGACCCGGTGGAAAGTTTTTTTGATCTACTTTTGGTTAAAAAAATATTATTGAAAAATCAACTTCACATTAGGCTTGGGGACGTAAAAACACACATTTTTCATCAATATAAACAATTTTTTATTTATAAAATATTCTGGTAAATTACCTTTTAAGTCGAACATACGTAAGGGCTCAAGCCGGGTCCGAGGGACCCGGGCTATGAAAAAAAATTTAAAAATTTGCAATTTTTATGCAATATTGGATTTATTTATGGTATTTTTATCAACAACTGACATAATAAGTGATAACATATGCTTAATACATCGGTAAATTTAATGGAACAAAAAATACACATTAAAAAATCTTGCTTAATAAGTATGTAGTTCGATTTATTCAAAATGACTCATTAAATTTATTAAACAAATTTTAGTTATATCTTGATTACTTTTCAATATTTAAAATTTTTTATGCAATTATATCATTAAAATTGTATTAAATATGGAAAATATGAAGCACACTTTGCTATTAAATTTTATTTTTTATTGCATTGAAACATCCGGGTCCCTCGGACCCACCTTGTGCGCGCATTTCAAAAATCGAACTCGAGCCTGTGAGGGTTAAGGGTTGTTTTCAGCCCTAGAAGCCACAAACGACTTGATCCAGCAAAACGGCCAGACACGGGTATTTTTTTTTTTTTGTCCTAGTTTCTGAAAATGTTTGATTTTTTTGTGTGTGAAAAATCGTGTCGGACGGTGCACTATACCGGAAAAAATTTTATTATTTGAAAATATTTCAATTCTCATGAGCATTTTTGTCTTTTGCGCTCAAAATGATAAATTTCATAACTCTTAAGTTTATTCGAGTAGGTTGCAGTACAATATTCATTAAAATAAAGGCGTTAATGTTTTACCAAGGTTTAAAAGGATTTACTTTGAAAAGGAGGAAAATATCCAAAGAAGAAACTTAGTAGCAACAGTTATTACTGTGAAAAACTTAAGTCGTATAAGTGAAAATAATGCCAAGGAGGTTTTTTTTCACAAGAAAAAGTGAATAAAATTGCAAATTATCTAATACAATTATTTTTCTTTACATGGAAAATTAAACTCTAAAGATAAAGAAAATGTAGAGATAACAAAATAGAACAAATAAAAGATAAAACTATTCGAATTTTTACATTAAAAGTATTAGAATAAATAAGGAAATAAATAAAGAAATAAATTGAAATAAATAAATTAAATAAATCATTACATAATTTTTTTCCTATCGAAGTACAAAACTTCACTATTGATCTTTGTGTACTACAGACGTTAACACATTCAGAGTAAATAAATTAAATTTAAATAAATTTTTATTTGTTCTATGAAGTGAAAATTTTAAGTGCGTCCAATGAAATATTTATTTAATGCAAGTAAATTGCCTACTTACTAAAGAAGATAAAAATCGATTGATTAAAAATATTAGTTTGGTTTACTTCAAAATTTATTGTAAAGAAAACTAAAAAAGACTAATAAATAAATTAATCAATAATAAATAATAGAAATATAAATAAATAAAGAAATAAAATAAAATAAAGTAATAAAAAAGAATTTAAAAAATAAAAAAAATTACGAAAATAAAGAAAATAAAGAAAATAAAAAAAATAAATAAATAGTCAATGTTAAAGACGTAACTAATAAAAGTAATTATGTGATAATAATTAACGAAGAATGAAACGAATCAATAACAAAAGCAGCGAATAATAAAAACGATAATAATTAACGAACAGTCTCAAACAAATGTATCAATAGTAATGAGTAATAGTAGATAATAAAGAAAATTAATGTAACAATCAACAATCAAATGTTTCTTGCCTTTAAAAAATATATTTTAATAAAAGAATTGAAAATTCTTTTAGAAAAAAATATGAATTATCTATTTATATAAACTGCTTATGCAAAAGTGTATAAATTCCTTCCATGTAGCGAGTGATATAACACATTTTTTTTTAAAGAAAGAAAGTTGAATTGTTAAAAAGTTATGAAAGAGATAAAAAGATTTGATGGACGCACGTACACTGAAAAGCTTTATGCCAAAGGTTGTGTAGAAGATTCTAAATAAATAATATAGTCGTTGAAATATTTAATTATTTCTTTTTCTTCGAAAAATTCTTAATATTTTCTAGATTAAATTCTTTTTTTTTTGTTATTAATAATAAACGTAGGTGAATGATTGAATTCACAATTTTTTCTAATTAGTAAATAACAATTTTGGTTTTCATTATTTTTAAAAAGCTTATTCTGTCACATTCATATTCTGTAGGGGAATGTAGTCAAGGTTGGCCTACTGTCTAGGTAGGCCACTCGCGTTTTTTTGTCAAGTTCACTAGCGCCACCTACGCGCATTTTTGTCGAAGCTTGTCTTAGTGAAACCTAACTTTTTGTTCAATTACATTTTCGGAAAATCGAAAATTGTGTTTTCTGTGACGTCGGTACAAAAAAAGCTCAAAAAAAGTTTTGTGCATAATGTGAAAAACCATTAATAAAAGATAAAAAACAAATTGAATCATCAAGGCAAGTATGCAGAAAATTTGTGGGACTCATGGTTGAAAGGAAAACAAAGTAAAAAATCGAATCCCGAAACGTATTTCTTTATGGTTACAACAATTCGGTAATGTTACTTACTGTCAAGGTCGGCCACTATGTGTTTAAAATGCGCAAAGTTGAGGACGAGCTACTTCATTTGCAAAAACTGCAATTCTGTATAACTCATAATATAATTGATCATCTTATTAATATTTTTATTTAATTTTATTAATATTTTAGTGCAAAACTTTTTTTTATTTATATTTATTTTTTTATATTGTTTATTGTTATTATTTTGTTATTTCATTAAGTTACAAACTGTAAACAATAAAGAATCAATTTTCCGTAACTCCAAACATGTTATTTTATTTTTTAACGATTAATGCCCTTTGAATTTTAAACATGGCCGACCTTGACTGTAATGGCCAACCTGGACTACAAATTTTTTTTTTTTTAAATCTTTATAACTTTTTCATTTTTAAACCTGTCAATTTACTTTGTACAGAAAAAATGTTCCTATTAAACAGGACTTTCCAACCATATACTTCAATTGTCCAAATTCATTTTAAAAAAAAAGTTATAAACAAAAGTCAAAAAGGTGGCCGACCTAGACTATGTTCCCCTACAATTTATTCATATTCTTATTTCTAGGATTTTATTTTTTGAATTCCATGTTTTATTCTGTATATTTTATTTTCTACATATTATTTTTTTTGTTTTTGTATTTTTGTATTTTTTTATATTTCATTTTGAACATTTTATTTCGTAGGTACATTTCAGTTTTTATTTTCGACATCAATTTCTTTTATTGTACGTTTTTTATTATTTATTTTCCATTCTTCATTTTGAAAATTAATAAATAATTTTGAAATAAAACTAATAAGTAAAAGAACTGAGATTTGTGGAAAAAATGTGAGTGTAAATTTTTCATTTATTTGATTTTGCGCAAAGTAATTTGTGAATACTTAAATCCCAGTACTCGACAGTACTGAATTACTGTTGTTTTCAGTTTGTTGGCTTTGAGCCAATAAAACGTTCACTTAGGACTTTATGAGTATTCTCTAGACTTGTTTAGTTTTCTTGTTCCTTGCAAGTCTAATTTATGACAGTCTGAAAAGTCGGAAAATGCAATTTTCTTCATTGAATGTTACAAAATTACAAAGTGAAACTTACATATTTTATTTTTTCTAATAATTTTTCCAGTATTAGTTAAATACTTTAAATTTTCAAAATAGGTTTTCTATCATTACCTATTATAATAATTTTTATTTCTATTAAATATTTATTTATTATTAAATTATTAAGTTTAAATTACAAACACAAAGAATTATTCTGCATTTTTTAAATTAGGAGATAAAAATAAATGCAAAATACGAATTTAAATCTGATATTCAAAAAAAACCAGTAGCGATAAAATAAAAATAAGTAGGGGAAAATTAGCGAATCGTGTTTTTTTATCTCGGGGGTACAAAACTTTTTTACGTTATGTGTTGACGTTAAATAAGAAGTGTCGTTTAAGTTAAAGTAACATTACATCTAAAAAGTTTTCAAGGAGCGAGAAAAAAACATGACACGTCAATTTTTATTCCAAACTTGTTCTTCTGCGGTCTGAAACTTTATTCCATTTTCAACAATACTATTCACTTGTTTTATTCAATATTATTTGAGATTCTAAACTAATTTTACCCCGTATTTCCCAAAAAAAAAAATCTTATTCTATAAATATGTTTACTCTCATCCGTCAAAGTGAAGAGTCGCAAAAAAAATTTTTTTCAACTTTATTATATTTGATGGTAAATACGAATATAAAATATATTATCAAATAAAATACAAAATAAGTAAAATGAAACAAAAAGTATAGTAAAATATAAAATAAAATATGAGAAAACGTAATGTAGAGAATAAAATGAAATATAAAATGAAGCAGAAGTTAAAATAAATTTAAATTTAAAAAGTATCTCAACATTTTTTTTTTAGCAAAAAAAAAAACAAGGATTTGTTGAAAAGTTAGAAATTAAGTGAATTCTTTAAATTCATGTTTGCGTCACGTTTTTCAGTTTGTGAAACAAGGAAATTTCATGCTGTGGATTTTGCAATAGAATTAGTTGGAATTAGTACGTGAATGCTCAACAAGCTTTAATGTAATTAGTACACACATTGATAGAATTTAATCCTGTATCACTTTCAGGTACATTGTATTTTTTCCGCAAAAAAAGTTATATACTATAAAATAGTAAAATATAATTTATTTATTTATTTATTAAAACAGAAATTATTCAATAATTCTCGCATAGTTTCACAAATATTAATTTTTTTTTTCATAATTATTATTTTCGTTTTATTATAATTTATAATTAATCATATTACCTATACTTTAGGGTATATTGTTATTTTTTATTTTCCTATGTCTGACTAACACTGACCTAAACTACTTAAATTACTTTCTTAAAGGGGTTTTCAATTTCTCTGTAATAAATGTAACCTTCTGTCAAGATTATAATCACAAAAATAAAACTAAACAATAAAAAACGACAGAAGGAAATCAAGTAGTAAAAATCATTTTCAGTCAGACCAACAATGTTTGTAGTTTTAATTAGTAAAAAAAATAATTTTTAGTGATTTTATGCTTTCTTTTTAAGAAAATATTTTAGAATAAAACAATCATTTTGCTATACCTGACTAAAACTAAATTATACTACTTGATTTAATTTCGTTACCTATTAATTCGATAGTAGTAAAAAATAATTTTTTTACTAATTAAAACTACAAAAAATTTTGATCTGACTGAAAATGAATTTTACTACTTGATTTTCTTTTGTCGTTTTTTTTATTGTTTAGTAGTAAAATCGATTAACGTCAAATGTCTCACTAAATCATTTTCATTTTGTCGGTGGTTCTTACTACTAACGAAATAATAAAATGTCTCAATAAATTAGTTTAATTTTGTTGTTAGTAGTGATAGACCTTTTTAGTCAGACCTATTAAAATTATAAAAATTCCTAGTCTGACTAGAAATTATGTTTATTACTTGATTTCCTTTTTACTTATTGCAAAAAAAAATTCGATTACGTCTAACTATTGCTTTAAATTCTTTTAATTTTAGTGGTAGTAGTAGTAAAAAACGTTTTTAGTCAGACCTGTTAAAATCATAAAAATTTTGTCTGGTAAGTCTGACCAGTACCGACCTGAACTACTTAAATTACTGTTTCTTGAATGATTTCCAATTTTTCAGTATTGGAAAGCACATTTTTGTCAATATTAAAATTATGAAACAAAATTTCATTTTTGTGTTACAGATATAATAGCGGAAATACTAGAATCGTCTGTTATATGCAATGGCCTGATGGAAGTTATCCAAACAGTAAAACCGAATACATGTAAGTCATATTCAACCAATTTCCTTAATCCAATTAATATTAAACAGGCATAAAAATAACTGAATTCTTTTATATATTTAAATATTTAAAAAAAATTTATACTTAAATACTAAGTATTGCGACATGTTTAAAATTCAATTCTTAAATATTGAATAATCAAATATTCAATAATTCTTAATTATTAAAAATTCATAATACTCAATATTAATTTATCGGATATTTGATATAAATATTAAATATTAAAATTCATTTAAATTTTGTAGGAATTAAAAAAAAAACCAAAAGAAATAACAATCATTAATTATAAAATATTTGTAAAAATTAATGAGATTGATTTTTATCTCGAGAGCCACTCTTTTCCGTGTGTGTCGAGTCATTTTTTTTTTTTTTTTTTGCCGCAAGCTTATTAATATTTCACACCATGCGTCAGAGTAATAAGATCTCTGCTGTAGAGATGGGGTAGGAAATATTAAGCGAAAAATAAATTGAATCTGTGTGGTCAAGTGAAAAGAGGAAGGAGATTAACACACGTACTCTATTATGAGAATGACGTGTTCTTGCGCAACGTTTACTCGCAAGGGAACAATTAAAATACATATTAATCTAATTATAGAAGCCCCTTTACAATTTGACTTTTTGTTTCAATTTCTTGAGAAATTTCATTAAAATGAATCAGCTCAAAAATCGCATATTTTTTTTTTATAAATAAACAAGAAATTTTTCTCACTTTTGAATTTTGTAGTTGAATTCGAAAACTCGTTTAATTATAAATTTCAATTTATTGATAAAAATAATAAATAATAAAAAAAATAAATAATAATTTTACTAAATTATTGAATTAAATTTAACTCTAACTATTTTTATAATTCAGAAATAAAATTATTAAAAAAATACTATTATTGTAAAAAAAACTTAAAAATATTCTCCAAACGAATTTAATTATTTACAATAAAATCTCATAAAATGGTTTAGAAGAATTTAATTTCTTATCTGATCTTTAATTTTAATAAAATTCAATAATAAAATTATTAATTAAAATTATTGACAAAACTCGATTATTTTTAAAACTTGAAAGAAATTTATCATAAAATTGAATTTAAAAGAAAAAATTATTAAGAAAGTTAAGAAACAAAAAAAATTTTTTATTATTAAAAGTAAAGATTAGATATTTTTTGTACGAGAAAAATGATTGACAAATTAACATTTCGTGAATGAATTGTAACGAAACATGCTATTAAATCGCAGTGAATCAAAATTGAGATTTCGTAGTTTTATCCATCAGGAAAAAGCAAATATTTTTTCTCTGTCAAGTTTTCTTTTCTCATCAATCCTTTGGTTGAGACTGGTTCCTTCCTTCTCTCTGTTCCTATACCTTCATGTACTCAGGTCCTCCTTTTCCGCCTCTTTCTCGTTTGTTCTTCGTTCTCAATAAACCCTTTTACACGATTCAGCTTGCGTCATCATTTGCCACAACAGCGAAATAAAACAGAAATAATTATCCTCGCTACAAAAATTTTTTATGACAGAATTTACTTCCTTTACAGTATTGTAAATAATTCAATATACTCGATTTTCTTTTATTTTTTTTTAATCAATTATTTAAAGTTTTATCTATGAAAGAGAATATCTTTCATTTCTATCTTCTTTGGATTTCTATTAATTTTTAATTTTTTTTAAAATAAGTTTTAGTGAAACTTTGTAAAATTTGTTCAGTAACATTCACAGTGTAATTTATAGTAAAACTTACAAGACAATTTTCAGTAATATTTTTAGTAAAGTTTACAAGACAGTTTTTAGAAACATTTATAGCAAAGTTTCCAAAATGCTCAAAGCAACATTTAGAGTGAAATTGACGAAAAACCTAATGAGAAATTTACGAGACCATTTGCAAAGAATTTTATCAAAATATTTAAAAACAATTTAATTTCTTCAAATAACTTTATTATTTATAAAAATAATTAAATTCTTGAGAAAAATTTTATAAAAAATTTTGAAAATCCTTATTAAATTCTTTTTAATATTTTGAAAATAATTTCATTCGTTCAAAGAAGTTTATTATTTATAAAAATAATTGAATTCTTGAGAAGAATTTTATAAAAAAATTTGAAAAACCTAATTAAATTCTTTTTTAGAATTTGAAAATAATTTCAATTCCTTCAAAGAATTTTATTATTTATAAAAATAATTTAATTCTTGAATTTTTGTGAAAAATTTTGAAAATCCTAATTAAATTCTTTTTAATACCTATTTTCCTTGAATTTTTTTATAAATAATGAAATTCTTTTATTAACTAATAGAAAATTTTCCAAGTAGTTGTATTTTATGAAAAATTTTTTTCAAGTTTTTAAAATAATCGTGTTTGTTAGTAGGTAGTAATTAAATTTTAATTAATTATGATTAATTTAATCATTGAATTACTGAATTTTATTAAAATTTTTAGAAAATAATTAAATTCTTTCAAAATTTTATTACAATTGTTTTCAATAATGTAATTCATTCACAGACTTCTGTTAAAATATTGAGAATAATTGAATTCTTTCGAAAATTTTCTTTAATTTTTTTAATATAATCAATTTTATTAAGAATAGTAATTAATAATTTTACTAAATTTTATCAGAGTTTTTAAAAATAATTAAATTATTTTTATGAATTTCTTTTTTTTAAATAATGCAGTTTTTTAAAAATAATTTTGATTGAAATTTAATAAAGTAATTAAATTTCGCGAAGAATTTTTTCCATCTCTTTAAAATATATAGAATTGTCTCTGTTATAATTATAATTAAAAATTTTGATTATTGATTTTCATTATAATTGTATTGTGAAAATAATTAAATGCCCGAGAAAAATTTTATTATTTATAAAAATAATTGAATTCTTGCTAAGAATTTTACCAAAATTATAAAAATAAGTGAATTGTTTCGAGAAATTTTATTAAAAAATTAAAAAAGTAATTAAATCCTTTCGTTAAATTTTATTTGAATTGTATTGAAAATAATTGGATTTTTGCAAAAATTTTACCTATTATTTATAAAAATAATTGAATTCTTGAGAAGAATTTAATAAAAATTTTTGAAAATCCTAATTCAATTCTTTTTAATAGTTTCTTTGAATTATTTTTAAAATAATGAAATTCCTTTAATAACTAATAGAAAATTTTGAAAGTAGTTGTATTTTATGGAAAATTTCTTTCAATTTTTTTTAAAATAATCGTGTTTGTTAGTAGTAATTAAAATTAATCATTTAATTACAGAATTTTATTAAAATTTTTAGAGAATGATTAAAGTCTTCTCAAAATTTTATTACAATTTTTTTAAATAATTTAATTTATTCACAGACTTTTATTAAAATATTGAGAATAATTGAATTCTTTCGAAAATTTTCTTTAATTTTTTTAATATAATCAATTTTGTTAAGAATAGTAATTAATAATTTTACTGAATTTTATTAGGAGTTTTTTGAAAATAATTTTAATTGAAATTTAAGAAAGTAATTAAATTTTGCGATGAATTTTTTTCATCTCTTTTAAATATATATATATATATATAATATTATATATATATATATATATATATATATATATATATATATATATATATATATATATATATATATAACTGTCTCTGTTATAATTATAATTAAAAATCTTGATTATTGATTTTTATTAAAATTAAATTGTTAAAATAATTGAATGTCAGAGAAAAATTTTATTATTTATAAAAATGATTAAATTCTTGCGAAGAATTTTATTAACATTTTTGTAAATAATAAATAATGCTAATTAATTATGTATTTAATAAGTGAATTTTCGAAATTTTTAAGCTGAAATTATTAAAATATTTATATATGAAAACAAAAAAATTTCGTATTGCATTATTATTTGGCAAAAATATTTATAATAAAATAAATTGAGCATGAAGTTCGGAGCGTAAAATTTAATAAATAGTCTTTCTCATTAGTAACGTGAATATAATTACAAAAAAGAATGAATTAAAACATATAATTGAATAATAAAGAATAAATATTTGAATGTATAAAAAAGTCAGTCCCTCATATTTTTTAACCAACAAAGGAATTAATTTTTCAAAGCAAATGAAATAAGTATGTGAGTTGGAATTTTCGAATAATAGAATTTTCTATAATGTTATAAAACTTTTGTTGTTTTGAATGTTACGTTTAGCATATATATATATACACACAGATACACATAAATATGTTCCTCACACAAAATAAAAAAGGTTAAAAGTAACCGGAAAAAGTTTGCGTTTCAATTCTCTTGACTTGCTATGCTATAAACTATATTGTTCCATTAGTGATAAATTATGACATTACATAAGAACTGCATTATTTACGCGAGTCACATTGAAACTCTTTTCCTTTTGTGTATATAAAAAATAACGCCAAGCATACATTTTATTTTTTTTTCCTTCTCTCTTTTTTTTTGAATAAAAAATAAAGATCCCGAGAAAAAAGTGTTGAAAGGAAATAAGGCGAGTGTGTGTGAGAGTGTTTTAAAGTAAACATTCATATATTTTCTCGAATAGGAAATTAACGATGATTTAAAACGAAGAGTTTAAATTTTTTTTATGAATTGAACAAAAGCTATTATTATGATAGATGGAAATTTTTTTTAATATAGACATGCCAATGATAGGAGTTCTGTTAAAAAGTTAAAATGTATAAGGAGTTTATTTGAATTTTATTAAAAGGTTCTTTTTATAATCAACTATTAAGCAGCTCGTTATTTTTCCAACTGCATAATGACTTGAAAGCAATGTTTAATAAATAGTTTTCTCATTAAAGGAAAAAGGAGAAGTTCTTCTTTTCATTTTTTTTATTCTGCTGTCTTGCATTCAGAAACGTGAGGAGTTGTGTTTCCTTTTTCTTTGTTAAAGAAAAAAATTCCCATACAGAAAATATTAATTCATTAATTTTTAATTTTATTATTTATTATTTAAATATTATTTCTTTAATAATTAATTTTTTAAATATTTGTTAAAAATTAATTAATTAATTAATTAATATATATTAAAAATTATTAATTATTATAAAAAATTTACAATTTCTAAATATTGAAACATGATACATAATAATATTTACTTGTTATTTTGTAAGAAGAAAATAGTATATTAAGCAACAAGAGGATAAAGGCAGCCATTTGTTTACGGTGATTTTTGTGACACGAGTGGAGGTCGAGGGCGCCCCGAGACTCGGAGTGATCGATTTCTTCATGCTTTATATTAATTAAAAATGACAAATTAATAGAATCATTATTTTATATTATAAGAATATTGTACTTCTTCAAAATTATTTGCATCATTTCAATTCAATTATGATTTTTAAAAATTTTACACTAAAATTTTTCTGTAAATCAATTAATTTTCGAAAAAGTTTTCCAACAATTTTCAAAATCCATTTATTTACAATATTCAATTTTACAAACTTCAATTATTCGTAAATTCTGCAATTAAAATATATGTTAGAAAATAAAAACTTCAAATAACAAAAAGAATTCAATTTTTTTTCAAAAATATTAATTTCAAAATTCAATTATTTCTAAAAATTCACACTATATTGCTTTTAATATTCAATTATTACATCCACAGTTTTAACTGAAATTGATTTTTAAATCAATTTTTATTAGAAAATTCTACTAGAATTCAATTATTTAAATACAAAAATAAATGATTTATTGAACAATTGAATGTTTCGTGAAATTCAATTTTCATAAAGAATTGTATTAACATATTTTTTAATAATTAAATTCTTTCGACAATTTTCAATAAAATTTTTAAGAATAATTACATTCTCCGAGAAATTTGATTAAAATTGTAATTAAAAATAATTAAAATTCTGCATTGAGTTATATTATTTATAAAAATAATTGAATTCCTAAGAAGAATTTTATTATTTTTGAATATAATTAAATTTCTGCGAAGGCGTTTATTACTCTTGAAAAAAATTGAATTTCTGCAATAATTTGTAATTTCTTAAAAATTAAATTTTTATTAGTTTTAAATAAAATTTTTCTATAAATCCATTATTTTTAATAAATTTTGCAAAAATTCTTTGACAATTTTCAAATTTAATTATTGTTTTTAACTGAAATTCATTTCTAAATTAATTTTTATTAGAAAATTCGACTAGAATTCAATTATTTAAACACAAAAAAATAATTTATTGAATATTTGAATGTTTTCAATTATTTAATAAATATTTTATTTTATTTAAATAATCGAATTCTCCGTAGATTTGAAAATTATCAAAGAATTTTTGCAAAAAATTATTAAGAATAATTGCTGATAATTGAATTCCTTACAAGATTTTAATACGATTTTTGAAAATAATTACATTTTTCGAACCTGGAATTTACTTAAAATTGTATTGAAAATAATTGAAATCCAGCAAAGAATTTGATTATTTAGGAGAATAATTGAAATCTTGCAAACGAAATTTATTAATTTTTTCTAAATAATTGAAATTCTGTAAAGAATTTTATTATTTATGAAAATAATTGAAATTCAGTAAAGAATTTTAATATTTATAAAAATAATTGAAATTCTGTAAAGAATTTTTATTATTTATAAAAATAATTGAAATTCTGTAAAGAATTTTATCATTTATGAAAATAATTGAATTCTGTAAAGAATTTTATTAAAATAGTAAATTTTAAAAATGTTTGAATTTCAGCGAAGAATTTAATTGATTTTTTTAAATGTACTTGAATTCTTGCAAATTATTCTTCAAAATAATTATACTTTACGAGGAATTTATTAAAATTTTATTAAAAATAATTAAATGTTTTCGTAGAATTATATTAAAATGTTTTTAAACAATTGTATTCTTTTGGAAATTTTATTAATATAATAGATTTTAAAAATAATTAAATAGAAACAATTTTTTTGAAAGTAATTGAAATTTTACCAAGAATTTTATTACTTTTTAAAATAATTGAATTTCGGATAAGAATTTTATTATTTATATAAAGATAATTAAGATTTTGACGAAAATTTTTAAAAAATTTTGAACATAATTGAATTTCTGCGAAGAATTATTTATTATTTATTTATTATTATTATTTATTTTATTTCATGAAATTTATATTCTTTCTAATTAAAAATCACTAAAATTTAGTAGAATTCATGTAGAAATTCTATAGAATCATTCTAGTGAAATTCTGTAGAATATTTACTAGAATTCATATATAGAATGATTCTAGTGAAATTCTATAGAACTTTTTCAGCTGGGTAATGAAATTAAATGTAAATTAAATTAAAAATTCTAAAAAAATGGAAAATTGAAAAAGATGATAAATTTTAATTACATGTGACATTATAAATATTAAATACAACATAGTTTATTAATAATTATTTGATTTCTATTATTGTTTCAAGGATATTTACATAATTTATCAAAAATACATAATATTATATTGTTTACGTATATTCGATTGCTAATGGGATTGCGATAATAATTTATGAGCTATTATATGATTTTTGATTAAAGGAGATGATTCGATTTGTACACCTATCAATTGATAAACTGGTTTCCTCCTTTCAGATACAATTTAGTATTTCTCGGAGTAACATACCTTATCCCTATGATGGTAATGGCGGTATGTTACACTTTGATGGGCCGTAAATTGTGGGGCTCAAAATCGATAGGTGAGCATACGCAGTATCAAAAAGAATCGATGAAGTCAAAAAGAAAGGTGAGCACCGTGAAAAATGACTTCTTTAAAAGCTTTCCATTGTGATCATAAAATCAATGTAAATATACCTTTAGAAGTTTCTTTCTGTTCTCTCTTTTTTTTATAGTTCTTTTGTTAAAAAAAAAAATTTTAAAAGCAACTCAGATTCATGAAGCAAAAAAAAAAATACAAAAAGTGCTTTGAAATTCTATATAATTTAATAAAAAAGAATTCAAAAGTAATTTAAAAGTTTAAATAATCTTATGTTTTACAAAAGAACTTCAATCACCCAAAACCGTTAGTCTGACTAAAAATGATTTTTACTACTTGATTTTCTTTTTTTAGTTAATATTTAATTCAATATTTATATATTTATATTTATTAATATGTATTTAATTAGTAGAAAAATCTTTTTCCGTCAGACGTATCACCAGAGTACTTTAATTTTGTTAGTAGTAGTAAAAAGCGTTTTTAGTCAATTAAAATCACCAAAAATCGTTAGTCTGACTAAAAATAATTTTTATTACTTGTATTGTTTTTTACTTAGTATTTCGTTAGTTGTAAAATCGATTTCTGTCAGGTATCTCACTAAATGACTTTAATTTTACAGTAGTAGTAAAAAACCTTGTTAGTCAGACGTAAAAATCGTTTGTCTGACTAAAACTGAATTTTACTACTTAATTTACGTTTTTTACTGATTATTCTGTTAAAAAAAATAAATTTCCTTGAATCGTTGCCTTCAATTATTTTAATTTTGTCAGTAGTAGTAAAAAAATACGTTTAGTCAGACCTATGAAAATGATAAAAATCACAAGTCTGACTAAAAATGATTTTTACTACTTGTTTTTCTTTCTTTACTTAATATTTTATTAGTAGTACAATCGTTATCCGTCAGACGTATCATTATTGTACTTAAACTTTGTTAGCAAAAAACCGTTAGTAAAAACCGTTTTTAGTCAGACATATTAAAATCATAAAAATCGTTCGTCTCACTTAAAATGATTTCTACTTTAAATTATTTTAATTTTGTCAGTAGTAGTAAAAAATACATTTAGTGAATTCTATTAAAAAAAAATAAAAACCGTTTGTCTGACTAAAAATGATTAAATTAAAAAATGATACTACTTGATTTCCTATCGTAATTTAATATTTCACTAGTAGTAAAATCGTTTTCCGTCAGACGTGTCACTTCATTACATTATAATTTTGTTAATAGTTGTAATTTAAATAATTTCAAGTTTTACATAAAAACAAAAAATTCTCCAAGAAAATAGAATAAAAATTTACAAAAAATTTACTAAATGAGCACGATATTATTTTTTAAAACTAAATGAAACAATTTTGCAGGCAAATTTTTTTTTATTATACTTGAAGGAAATTAAAGAAATTTTCCTTTTATTTCCAAGAGCACCTGAACCAACTTAATAGGATTATCCACTATTTCTTGTGTATTTTAATTTTATGAAAGAATTAAATTTTTTAATTTAAAAAAATTGCGAAAGAGCTTGTAAAATCAGAATATGTTTTTCTTTTAATTTCAGGTTGTTAAAATGTTTATCATCGTTGTGACGATATTTGCCGTGTGTGCTGGCTACCGTATCATGGATTTTATTTTCGCATATCATCATGTCGATTCGCAGAGACGAGTTACGCTTCAACACGTTTTTTTAAGCTTTTACTGGCTCGCCATGTCAAATGCGATGGTGAATCCTATAATCTATATTGGATGAACACAAGGTAAGATATAGAGAACATTATCCATTTTTTTTTTTAAGAATCTTTAAATTTTATTACCTATAAATATTTTTTATTATTATGATTTTTTTTTTTTAATTATAATTAAATTTACCAAATTCTTTTCGTTTCGCAACAAAATGATAATTTAAAATTTTAATTTTCAAGTTTTTTTTAAAAAAACCATTTTTTGAAAAAAGTTTTCTTTCGTTTAAGAAAAAAGGAAATAAAATAATATTTTAAAAGGAAAGAAATTCTTTTACAAACAATTTTTCTCTTCTTTGTCAAAAATTTCTTTTTGATTCTTAGGAATGATAAAGACTCTACTTAACTTACCTATCCAAAAGTATTGCTTTTCTAATAAATTTTGAGAATTTATATTACTTTGAAAATAGTTATTTTTATATTTTATAAATATTTTTTATATATTTTTATATTTATTATTTTGAACGATAAATGATTAATTATTTATTAAACGTTTTTCTCGAGTGTCGATTTCATTCGTACGATTATTGTAAGTGGAAGTGAATAACGATTTCATTCAACATACTCTCCTTTCATTCAACTCCCTTTTCCATTAATAATTAGCTTTCCAGGCAGCCAGTCATAAACTATTAGTTCAGAATTGACTCTGGAGCTATTACAGAAAATACGAAATTTTTTAGAAGAGAAGTAAAATTAAAAAAAAATTACAAACAGTGATTTTTTTAAACAAAAATAAAAATTAGGTAGTGATTTTCATTTATTTATTATATATTTATTTACAACATTTTTAATGTAAAATCAAAAATAATAATAAATAGTAAAATAAAAATCAAGAATAAGAATAAATAATAAATAAATAATAAAAAAATAATAATAAATAATAAAATAGAAGTAAAAAATAATAAAATAAAAACTAAAATAAGAATAAAGAATTAAATAAAAATCATAAAAAACAAAATTCGAAACTAAATTCATTAATGTTTAATAACATTGTAATTGTTTGTAATTTATGAAAATGTAACTTTGCTCTTTTATGAAAGAAAATCTAAAAGAATCTACTAAGAAATGATGATAAAATATTCGCTTAAAAATTCTAAAGAGAAATTTCTAAAAGAAATATTAAATGAGAAAAATTTAATTGTTCATCTTTTGAGATAATATGGCAGAAAATATACAAGATTGCATTTTTTATTAATGTTATATTCGTGGTATTCACTTTATTCTGTTCTTGATTATCTTTGATTAAAGTTTTACATTGTGAAAAGTTAAAAGAAAAATTCTATTTGCGGAAGAAACAAACATATTTTTTTTAAACAAGGAAGCGGAATAATTAATTAAAAGAAATCTTCTTTTAAATTTTCCACACCATAAATATTCATTTTATGCTACGATTTTCAAATTTTTAAAGCCATATTCACATAAGGGAATTATAAAATGTCACTGCTTGTGAAATTATTACGTTTCTTCGTATTTTTGAATTCTATTTGAATACTAATTCAGTATATATACACGGTGTGCACTAAATTTTCCGAATACCAACAACTTTTTACGATTTTTCCCTTAAGTGTGAAAAAAGATGTCAATGTTTTTTAAATTAAGAATTTAGTCGAAAGAAAATATTTATTTTAACTCTATTTTTTTACAGTTGTAACGTCCTAGCTTTTAAAAATTTTAATTGTGCAAATTTTAACTTGATAGTAGTAGTAAAAGATATTTTTAGTCAGACACATTTAAATAACATTAAAATCGTTAGTCTGACTAAAAAAATTTTTGGTACTTGATTTAAATTTTTTATTACCTCTTTAGTAGTAAATCGACTTATTTTTATTTATTATTCCATTTATTAATTCATTTATTATTTTTCTATTTTTGATCGAAACTTTGATCTTATCGGTATTTTGTTAAAAAAAAAAAAAGAATTCTTTCTCTCATAAAACGAAAGGAAATTTTACTCGTAAATTAAGGGCAATCGTTTCAAATCCGATGAGAGTGAAGTTAAAGCTGCCTACATGTGAAAATATAACAACATTCCAAAACCAATTAAGAAAGTAATTAATACCTCAGTCCTTTTATACACACAAATTCTATACGTTTTATAGATTATAATTATATGCATAGTCTGCCAATATTTGTTTTGAAAAGTAAGTTACAAAGTTTCATGGAAATATAATTTGATATAGCACCCACTAGATTTTAAATTAAATTCT